AATAATTATATTTATGCTCTACTTTTGTATCGAGCACTATTTTTTTTATGAATAATAACAAAAATACTAAAGAATTTTGGATTATTTACCTAACGAGTTCTTTCCTATTTTCTATATATTTTACACACACACACACACACACACACACACACACACACACACATATATATATATATATATATATATATATATATATATATATATAAGACACAGAGTGTGTTGAAACAAAATGGCTATTTTTGTAGTGATTTTATAACATACTTATGTTATAATTTTTTTATAAAAATAATTATATATATATATATATATATTAATGTTCGGTCATTTGGAGAAATCTTTCTAATTATTTCTCTCTGTGTATCCTTGCTTGAATCGGCTTCTAATGCTCTGGGGTGAGTGGCTTGGTGATAGTAGTCATAGCTCGGGGAGGCACAGTCCTATGGGTAAAAGAAAAAATCGAAGAAGTTCCACCAGGGAATTTGTGATCGAGCGGCGCTATATCGAGTCTAATTCGTTACTTCTTCGTCACCCAGTTGGTATGGCGTTTGCCTCCTATCGTAACTGTTCGCGTTTCAATTCTCAGTAGTGGATACACACTGCTGATGAGTCCCAAATATAGGACGAAACGGCTGTCCAGTGCTTTCTGCATTCTGTTGAGGTTTCTTCTAGACTCGATGTGTTACTTAATTATGATTATTTCAAATCCTCCTAATTATTTCTCTCTCTCTCCCCTCTCTCTCTCTCTCTCTCTATATATATATATATATATATATATATATATATATTTAAATAGGTTTGAAACGGTACAAAAGCGTATTAAGGCATTAAAAACTAGAAATGTTGTATTGTAGGCCATGATAAGTTTAAAATAAAACACACCCCAGTCGACCGGTTTCGTCCCCTCTCGTCAGAACTGTTAACGGGGAATTTAGATTATGAGGAAAAGAAAAAAGTCTGTCATGGGTGACATGAATGAATGGACAGGGAAGGAAAAAAAAAAAATTAAAATTATACCAACCAAGCTGCTAGAAGCGCAGAACAGCAAGTCCAAGCAAACAATTTCTTTGTTTGCAAAGAGCAGGTTGCCTGGACCTGATGTAAAGCGACTCCAACACCTAAGGATGGAAAAGTGAGTGCACTGTCCATTCATTCATGTCACCCATGACAGACTTTTTTCTTTTCCTTATAATCTAAATTCCCCGTTAACAGTTCTGACGAGAGGGGACGAAACCGGTCGACTGGTGTGTGTTTTATTTTAAACTTATCATGGCCTACAATACAACATTTCTAGTTTTTAATGCCTTAATATATATATATATATATATATATATATTGTGGAATTACTTTCCGGCTTCATGCTTCCCAGCAAACACCTGATTAGTCTCTTCTCTTTCTGTTCATCATTAATGTTTCTGTTCCTAATTCTTCCACACCCTGTAATCCCTTGAGTTTTAGAGACATTATTGCCTTACTTGGGGTGATTCCGATTAAAAAATATTTTTCTTCCATAAGATTTCATGAAATTTCAGGACACTCACATATTCAGTCCATGGTATCCTCAGCATCCTTTTGCAAAACCATATTTCCTTTTGCTTCAAGTCTGTTCTTCAGCTTCATGGAGATTGTCCAGCATTCACTGCTATATAGGAAGACTGATATCACGCAACAGTTCAGTACTCTTTTCTTCGTTTATAAAGAATTTTTTCTGTTTCTTAATACTCTGCTTAGCTTTTGGAATGCATCTTTGACTATCCCAAATTGTCTTCAGTGTCGCACTTCTCAGATATATAAATTTTTGTACTTTGATTTTAGCATCTTCAATTTGTAATTTTTTTTTTGGGGGGGGACATCCTTTGTTAACAACCATGCATCTTGTCTTCTTGAAGTTGATGCTTAATCCTTTCTTCTCGTTTTCCTTCACTAAATCGCAAACCTATGTACTGTATACTATCTGGAATTCCTTTGTTCCAAAAGCCCGTAAGATTAACCTGAAGTCCACCATAGTCTATCGCGCGCTAATTTGTTCTCTCTGTCCTTTTGACCAGGAACTGGAGAAAATTCATCACATTTTTATTGACAATGTTATTAAGCGCGTGGATAAGTGTGAAATTAGACGTTCCAAGAACCTATTTATTTTGAAATTGGCGTGGCTAGGCAGGGAGAGTCAAATGCTTGCAAACAATGTGTCGGCTTGCATTACATCAGGTTTTTCTACTGTCAAGTTATGGGTTGTTTTTAAAACCAACTCGATGTCTTCATCTTTTGTTAAAGAACCTTCTGTCCAACTTTCAAAGTAGTTCCGTCGTATATAAGTACAAATGTCAGTGTGATGCTGAATACGTTCGACTGACTAGTCTGAGGTTGGAGACTTGTATATGTCAACATGTTCCGGACAATATAAAATCAGGCGATCTGAGCCTTTCTTCTACGAGGACTCAGTCGACACATGATTCAGCAATAACCCAACATTTGATAATCCCGAACATCACATCAAATATGTCGATAGTTTTTTCATTGTTTTGCACAGAGCCCGGTCTGCCCACCACTTGCGTGTTCTTGAAACAGTATATGTATTAAGTTACATCAACAGAATATGTGAAAGCAGAAAGAACGTTTCTTTTGCTCTCTATATATGTTTGGAGGGTCATGAGTGAGAATTTTTTCCCTTTTACACTTTGTAAATGATGTTCCAAAGTTCCTCTCCTCATTCAATATATATATATATATATATATATATATATATATATATATATATATATATATTGAATGATGATGGGAACTTTGGAAATATATATATATATATATATATATATATATATATATATATGTGTGTGTGTGTGTGTGTGTGTGTTTGAATAAAAAACAGACCACGTTAAGATTCCATGTAATAAGCTATTTCACCATAACCCCTTTAACAGGGTTCTGGATCATCAGATTTTATATATATATATATATATATATATATATATATATATATAATATAATATAATGAGGAGGGAACTTTGGAACATCATTAATACAATTTAATAGTATACTAATATATATATTTCAATTAAAGGTGCAAATTATAATTTATAAATTCATGAATCATTCATACAAAAAACAAATATAGAGGTTAATGATTTAAATGGCGAGAATACATCTTCGCAAACAATATAAATGAGATACATGTAATCCGAAAATATCCGAAAACAATAACACATTTCCCATATCATTTTTTCGGATTTCATCTCTATTTTCGTTGTCCTCTTATTACCGAGAAGTAAAAACAAGAACAAAATCTATTTCCATACCTGAGGATGTCTGTAGGAACAGACGAAATCTTGTAAAAATTAAAAGACCTTATGCAAATGGAATTTATGAACAGGGATCATATCATTCATATACAGGTTTGGGGTTGATGTATCTCATATTGTTTGCGAAGATGTATTCTCGCCATTTAAATGATTAGCCTCCATATTTGTTTTTTGTATGAATGATTCATGAATTTATAATATCTCTCTCTCTCTCTCTCTCTATATATATATATATATATATATATATATATATATATATATATATATATATATATATATATATATATATATATATATAAAAAGTATTGTAAAAAAAATCTTTAATTTTAAAAGATGACGTTGAAAATTTTTTACCGTTAACAATTTTTTTTTTTTTTTTTTTTTTTTTTTTAAATTCAGACGACATCCATTCAACCGACGTCAGGTTTCAGTGTAAAATACATCCTCACCCCTTACCAAAATGTAGCTAATAACTGATACAATGATACTGTCATAAGGAAAATCTAGACACCCCTTGTTCAATTTGAGTAGAATATTCTGTAACCATGGAAACGTGATTTTAGCTGTGTATTTAAAACCAGTAAATTTTAAAAGTTACTCCAAAAATTCGCTTGAAGATGAAATGGAACTAATGCTTTTAATTTATTTGCAAAAAATAAAATTAGGGGTTTTTAGCTTCTATTTTTGAAACATGGTTGGAACTGTGTAGCGAAAATAACCATATTTTAAATCAATTAATTTATAATATTAATGCTCTGTAAATTTACATTGAGCACTATTTTGTAAAAATAAAATATCTATAAGAACACCGGATTTTATATCTTACTGTTCTTTCTTTTTATTTTATATATATATATATATATATATATATATATATATATATATATATATATATATATAATATTATCCCTTATTTCGTCAGATTTGCGCCAACGGTTACCTTTGATAAAAGTTTTGGCTAAAAAGGATTCCTTTAATAAAAGAAAAAAAAATGAAAAATGTCGTCGCGCTTTTTCAAATCAGTGTTTACGTTTTATGGTGACATGTCTTACACACACACACACACACACATATATATATATATATATATATATATATATATATATATATATATAAATGCGTTGTAAATGGTTTAACTTTATAAAATTAATTCTACGATATGGTGAGTGAAAATCTGAGTTTTCGGTTAAATCTCTGGTTGCGATTAATAGCTTAACAATAAAAAATATTTATACGATATTTTTTCAAAAGTGCATGTAAAGATAAGATTTGAAACAGGTGTAATGTAGTGGGGTGATTTATATTTGTCGGGCTCAGGGACCTGTACCTATTGTCTTTGCGGAGATATACTCGCTTATTTTTGTGACGATGTTTGGGCCGAGGTCATCGTCCCATTAGAGGTTAGTGAGTGCTAATTGAATTGAAGGATCTTTTAAATGAAAATATGAGAAAAACAAGCCACAAACAAGAATGGAGATTTGTGTTTGTTACTGAGAGTTGTTTTCTCTTGTTTTCTCGGATGAATGGCAACCTTTTTACGATGGTGATACGCCCATCCTTTCCTCAGCCGAATTATAGTCTATGTAGAGGTTTTGTTGATCGTGTGAGCAAAAAAAAAAAGGTGTTATTCGCTGCTGTAAACAAAAAGAAGCTTCGAAAGGAAAATTATAAGCGGAGACTAAATGACCAGAGAGCGTAATCATTTTAGGTTTTAAAACTTGTTTTAATTTCACGCATATATTGGTACAGAGACAGAAAGAGAGGGGGGAAAGATGAGGAGGAGGGAAGAGAAGTGAGAGCGGGATAGAAGGAGAAGGAAAGGTAGAGAGGAGGACGGAAGGGAGGGAGAAGTGAGAAAGAGGAGGAGAGAGATATGGAGAGAAAGGAAGAGAAAAGAAATAGAGATAGAGGCAGATGAAAAGAAGAGGAGACAACAAGAGAGAAAGAAAGAGGGGGAAAATGGGCGAAAGGGGAGAGGGAAGGAGTGGAGGAGGAGAGGAAAGAATGGGCATAGAAGGGAAAGAGAGAGGAAGAGGGAAAAGAGAAAGATACATAGAGATAAGGGAGATAGAAAATGGAGACGGTGAAAGGAGGAGAGAGTGAAGTAGGGAGAGAAGGAGAGAAAGGGAATGCAAAGGGAAATGGTGAGAACAAAAGAGAAATAAAAAAAAGGCCAGAGAGAGAGAGAAAGAGAGAGAGAGAGAAAGAAAGAAAGAAAGAAAGAAAGAAAAAAAAAAAGAAAGAAAGAAAGAAAGAAAGAAAGAAAGAAAGAACAATGTCAATGTTTTCCATTTCACAAACACAAAAAAAAAACACTCGTATCGGGGGTTTTTCTTTGGGCTTCAGACCTGCATGTGTGCGATTTTTTTGTCGGCAGAAGTTCATGTTTGTAGCTCTTTCTTTTTTTAAAACCTTTTTTTCCCTCGAGATTGATTTGATTAGCAAATCAAAAATTCGAGGGTTTTTCGAAACGAGTCTAGTTATCTATATTTTATATATATATATATATATATATATATATATATATATATATATATATATATATATATTACTCTGCTTATTTAATCTACTTTAACACCATTGGCTTGTAAAATCTTGTTTTCTACAACATGGCAGCAATTAATTTACCCAGGACAGAAACTTACAATAAAATCATCAACACCCCTGCTGGACTTGGCCTTTTTTTATTGAATAAAATGTCTATATAATCTCTACATAACATCAAAAAGAAACAGTTGAAGTTTCTAAGACACATAATGAGGAAAGAGGATTTGGAAAATTTGACACTGACAGGATATTCTGAAGGTAGAGGGGAAAGAGGAATGCAATCCATACGGTCGCGTAAATGGTTGACAGAAAAGGGATTAAGAAAAAATAGCAAAAGAGACAAACTTTACTAAACTTTAATATTTACTTAAGTAATCTCAACAGCAGTTAATATCGCAGGTTTGTTAAATATATTTTACTCTGCTTATTAAATCTACTTTAATGCTGCTGGTCTGTAAATTTCTATAACATGACAGTAAGAATTTGCCCGAAAGGATATCAAATTGCAATAAAACCATCAACACACCTGAAGTAATTGGCTTTTTTTATTCAATAAATTTTCTATGCAATATCTATTTAATATCAGAAAGTTTTAGAGAAAATGGAAACAAGAAGGATGCTTATACTTAATATCAGGAAGAGACAATTGAAATATAGCAGGGACCGAATGTGGTGTCAAGTAAGGTCTGAATAGAACCTATAATCGGTAGGAGTTGAAACCCGAAATAGGAGCCCGAAGACTCCTATTGGCCAACGAAATTTCTGGCATTTATTTATTGAAAATTTTGTTTTAATTTTCAATAAATAAATGCCAGAAATAAAGGAATTAAGTTGTCAGCTGAGATGTTACCATTTTTTTTTTTTTTAGAATGATTTAATTCTAAATATTCGTTAACGTTTCCATTTTCGGAGCAACTGCCGAATAGCTTTCCTTTCTGTATCTAGCTTTTTATCTCTACTAGATTTTTTTTTGCAACACGCTGACGTATATTGAAAATCCCCACAGTATTTAGCATTGTTGAAATTTGCGCTAACATTTTTAAGAAGATTTACAAACTATAGGTTTCATTCAATTTCGCAAACCAGTCGATGAAGTTTGAATAAGCTGATTTATTTGGAAAAATCCTTAAAAACACTACTTCGTGATTTGATGATTTCTTTAATTTAATTTAATTTTATAGGTAAACAATGTTTTTAAGAGATTTTGTTTCCTTTTTAACTGCAAAGAATAAATTCTTATGATTTCTTACTCTTGAGAATGCAACATACAACTGGCCATGCGTAAATATTTCTTTCTGGAGCTCCAAATTCCAAATTTTTGAAGTGTTTTACCTTGTGACTTGTTCATATATCTCGCAAACGCATGACGAACAGGAAATTGAATTATTGTATATAATAAAACTTAAAGAAAAGATATACAAAAGTCAATATTGCATTTTTATTAAATCAGTATTTGTTATTTTAATCATTAAACTGTTTCTAAAACAATGGGAGTTTTTTTGTATTAAATAATAAAACTTATTAATTTTTACAAAAAAATTAATGAAAATCTATTATACTAAACTACACATCCTAGTAAAACCAACTGTACTTTGTACTCCTTTAGCTGTTTGCACTTCATAATTTAGTTTCGATCGGTCAATGTATAGCTATATTAGAGGGCGTGATGGATGGACGAACGAATAAACGGAAGTGACAGAATTTTATATATAGATTATCTACTCTTCTATTTGTCTTTTTATTCCGATCATTTTCGTTCAACTGCTGCTGTTTTAAACCCTTAAATTCTAATGTTTTCTTAGCTGGTTAATTTAAATCTGTAAATGGGTTTAATTTTGTATATTTCATCAAAACCAACCACTTGCATTTTAAAGGATTAGGACACAGAGAAAAAATATATGGAATAAAATCTGAATTGCCCCTCAGAAAACATACTTAGTGTTGTGGTACGATCCACCTAATTTACATAGTGGAGTACCGACCATATAAATAGGGGTTGGTACCGGAAGACGAGAGAAGTAAGAAGAGATCCAATCGAGAGACTCTGCCCGACTGCGATTAAGTCAACCATTCTGCAGGAACAGTCTTCCCAAGAATATACCAAAACTAACTGTAAATATTGTGTACCTTTTCCTTGTTTCAATACATTTTGTTTACGTACATTTTGTGTTGTATTATTATTATTCCATGCTTATCCAAGCTTCAACACTTAGCTAATCTAAACCTCAGTTAATCTCACAGTTTTGTATTTGTATGTATGTATGTATATATATATATATATATATATATATATATATATATATATATATATATATGTATGTATGTATTACTCTGATTATGTAATCTACTTTAACGCCATTGGCTTGTAAAATCTTGTTTTCTACAATATGGCAGCAATTAAGTTGCCCAGAAGGACAGAGACTTACAATAAAATCATTAACACCCCTGCTGGACTTGACCTTTTTTATTGAATAACATGTCTATATAATCCCTACATAACATCAAAAAGAGACAGTTGAAGTTTCTAAGACACATAATGAGGAAAGAGGATTTGGAAAATTTGACACTGACAGGATATTCTTAAGGTAGAGGGGAAAGAGGAATGCAATCCATACGGTCGCGTAAATGGTTGACAGAAAAGGGATTAGGAAAAAATAGCAAAAAGACAAACCTTACCAAACTTTAATATTTACTTAAGTAATCTCAACAGCAGTTAATATCGCAGGTTTGTTAAATATATTTTACTCTGCTTATTAAATCTACTTTAATGCTGCTGGTCTGTAAATTCCTATATCCTATAACATGACAGTAAGAATTTGCCCGAAAGGATATCAAATTGCAATAAAACCATCAACACACCTGAAGTAATTGGCTTTTTTTATTCAATAAATTTTCTATGCAATATCTACTTAATATCAGAAACTTTTAGAGAAAATGGAAACAAAATGGATGCTTGTACTTAATATCAGGAAGAGACAATTGAAATGTCTAGTATATATCATGAAGAAAGACGGCCAGGAAAATCTGATACTGACAGGTCATATGAAAGACAAGGGAGAGAACAACGCATAAACTACAATAGTGAGCTTGTATAAATGGATGGTAGAAAGAGTAAAGAGAGATAGCTTAAAAAAACATTTACTAAGAGCTAAAAAGGATAGGAAATTGGGGAGAGTCATGATCGCCAACATCCTGAAAAAAACTAGTCACATAGAAGAAGAAGAACATGGTCGGTTCGAAAAATAAGGAATTGCCTCTAGTAATGGTATCTTTGTACAGTAGCGTTGTATTAGCAAGGTAAGAATACGAGACTAAATGGCAAAGAACAAACGTTGCTAAGAGGAAGTTGTGGAGAACCATGATTAATCACTTCCATAAGGAACATGGTATATAGAAGAAGATATCAAAGAAGAGCTTCTATAAGGCAACAGAATTACAAGACGCTTTAATTAAAACGGATTTCTTGAGAATAGTTTTTTTAACGATCGCATGTTAAATGCTGAAACCAGCATCTCATAAAATTTACTGTGGGACGAATATTTTCATTTTACTTTTTAGTTTTCATTTTACTTTTCATGAACATTAAAAAAATAAAAGAAATCATTATCCTGTTCGACATGTAATATATAAGTAATATGTAAGTAATCTAGGCAAATGTAAAATGGTTTCTGTATACATGTAGCCTAATTTTGTTTGACAGTCTGTCAAAAGCATATCCTCGTCGAAACTGAAAGCAATCTCAAAAATATATATCTATCTATCTATCTATCTATCTAATTCTTTTCATAACTACTGATATATCTTATTCTGTTCATACCTATTGATATCCCATATTCTGTTCATAGCTATCCATCTAATTCTGTTCATATCTATCTATCTATCTATCTATCTATCTATCTATTCCACATTGTTAATATCTATCTATCTATCTATCTATCTATCTATCTATCTATCTATTATCTATATCATGTTAATCTATCTATCTATCTATCTATCTATCTATCTATCTAATCTGTTCTATCTATATATCTTATTCTGTTCATACCTATTGATATCCCATATTCTGTTATCTATCCACCTAATTCTGTTCATATCTATCTATCTATCTATCTATCTATCTATCTATCTATCTATCTATCTATCTATCTATCTATCTATCTATCTATCTATCTATCTATCTATATCTATCTATCTATCTAATTCTGTTCATATCTTATTCTGTTCATACCTATTGATCCCATATTCTGTTCATAGCTATCCACCTAATTCTGTTCATATCTATCTATCTATTTATCTATCTATCTATCTATCTATCTATCTATCTATCTATCTATCTATCTATCTATTCCACATTGTTAATATCTATCTATCTATCTATCTATCTATCTATCTATCTATCTATCTATCTATCTATGCGTTCTATCTATCTATATCTATCTATTCTGTTTCATCTATCTAATTCTGTTCATAACTACTGATATATCTTATTCTGTTCATACCTATTGATCCCATATCTGTTCATAGCTATCCACTAATTCTGTTGATATCTATTTATTCTGTATCTATAGCTATCCTATCTAATTCTATTCCACATTGTTAATATCTATCTATCTATCTATCTATCTATCTATCTATCTATCTATCTATCTATCTAATTCTGTTCATAACTATGATATATCTTATTCTGTTCATACCTATTGATATCCCATATTCTGTTCATAGCTATCCATCTAATTCTGTTCATA